GTTTGGGAACCACTGCACTTTGGTTCCCAAAGTTGGGCTTGGGGACCAATTATGGGTCATGAAGCACCTTGGATAATCTCCAGAAATCAATTTAAAGGGTAATAAAATAATTGCTGATGTAATATTTTCCCTATAATTACTACAAAAACACAAAAATAAGTATAAATAAGTATTTATATTTGTGTATAAGCTGTTTAGATTGTCAAAAAGCCTATGTTTTTAGGGTTAGTAATGAAGTTTGTGTACTCAGACCAGTAATATTTGGGGTCACAAGTTTTTGCCGTGGATATTTTGTGGGTCAGAAGACAAAAAGTTTGGGAACCACTGCCTTAGACCTAACCCCCCACCCAAAATCAGCCTTCGAAGTCGTGGAGACCGGGCTTTGGTCCCAACAAGGAGCATCCGGTCATGAGGCTGCATTTTCCYGACAAATTTGTCCCCACCAAGTAGCAAAAACAAGGACRSACACACACTGAATTTCCTAACTCTGTCTGGGTCATTACAGGTATTCTCACAAATAATAACTCAGCACTCTAATAAAAAAATCTCACAAACTGTCCTCGAGGTTTGATGATTTTAGAGCAAAAAATGATTCACGAGGAAATAAATAAACATTAAAATGCTTTAAAATGAATATTTTCTTACTCTCCATGTGACTTCTAAAGTCAAGACAAACAGGAAGTTAGGTCTGACCTGGAATTTATTTCGCTCCTTGCCTCTCGAGGCTCCCGTGCACAATCACACAGGTCTGTATGAGTGTGCACGGAAGCCGAGAGGCTTCCGTGCACACTCATACAGACCTGTGTGATTGTGAACTACCTGACAGTGAGTTGATTCCAGGTGAGGCCTGGAAGTCTGCACGGCTCCAGAGTTCCTCAGTCCAACACGTCCTCCACCCGCTGGACTTCACTCTGCATCTGGCCAAGTGTATGGTGGACAACGACGCTCGGATGCCCAAGTATGACCCGCCGTCCAGTGCTTCTGCCTCTTCTCTTATTTACGCGGCTAACATCACAACCATCTCTGTGCTTCAGGCTGAAGGTGTCTGGAGAGCTGCCGCTGCTGCACGTTAAGATCTCAGACCAGAAGATCCGGAGTGTTCTGGAGCTGGTCGACAGCATCCCCATCCCCAAGATGGACTCGAGCCCGTCCACTCCGACGGAGAAGGTTGGATGTGTGTCGACCAGGGGCGCCAGCAGTGGGGGGTCCAGGGGTGGCCATGGCCCCTCCTGAGAATAAGCTGATTTATCCTCTTGAGTGCCCAAGTTTTTCCTTTTTCACTTCCCCTACTTATTTAGGAATAGAACCTCATAAATATAAAAACAAACATTTTTTTAACAATTAAGAGTTTAAAACATTAATTTATATTTTATTTAAAATTGAAAAATAAATTAAAATTAAAAAGTAGCATCTCTGAATAAGGACAACCAGACCAGTCTAAAACCAGTTCTCAAATAAAGATGGAGGTTCTCAGGAGGTTATATTCATAGATATATTTTAATCAAATATTAATTAAATCATTTTAATAATTATGTAATAAATATAAAATGAGGCAGTACAGTGTCACAGTTGTAGAGCAACATGTTGCCTCTAAGGAAGAAGGTTCTAGATCAACTTCCTGTTCTCCAGGTTCTCCAGTTTTCTCTCACAGACCAAAATCA